TCAAACTGAAACCAGTTTGGAAATCTTCTGCACTCATCCTTAGCATGAAGGACAAGATTCAAACTTTCAACACAAATGTGAAATCAGTCAGTACTTCTATTCAGGTCAAACACTTTGCGTGTCACGGAAACAATCTCCAACAAGTAACAGAATTTTGTCAACAACTGCCTTCTCTGGCTGCATACTGAAGATCAAATGGCCAGCCAGCCAGAATTAGCAACAAGAAACTCTGGCTGGAAACAAACCAACCAAGAGCCGATCGCTCAATAAATGTGTAGGAGAAAATGGAGATGGATAAGGTACACGCTAAGGAGGCCATCAAATGACATAGCGTGCCAGGCCCTCAAGTGGAACCCGAATGGGAAACGACAAGTGGGTCTTCCGAGGGTGACATGGAGGAAATGAGAGATTGGTTACAGGATTTCATCACGAGCCGACATTGGTTAGAGAACCATTGAAAAACCTGGGAGTACTGGACAACTGTTTCTTCCTAGTTTGGGACTCTTCATCGATACGCACCCGCCGGGGTTCGAAGAGTCCCAAACTAGGACGAGATATCTATCCAGTACTTCCAGGTTTTCCAATGGCTCTCTAACCAGTGTCAGCTCATGATGAAATCCTGTAATCAGTCACTCAAATACGTATAAACCAATACTTGAAACTGAGAGATTATGAGCGACCGTGGGCCTAGGTGGAAGGGGCAGTAGAACAAAGTGGAGATCTGTTTTTGAAGTCCTTTATTTCACTCGGAACTCAAGGGAACAATAATAATATACTGTTTATTTTTAAGTAAACGTTTATGATTTCTTTGAATCGTATAAGGCAAATAAACGCTGAGAGAAACTCTCCTCAACAACCAACGCTCCATCATGATTCGATTTGATATAAAGTAGGATAGCGGATCATTTTTCTTCGGTAAACCATGTATATTAGCTGTTGAATGCATCCACATCTTAGTTAACGATGATTTACAACCCAAAAACACGGCTGATTGCAAGTCCAGAAAATTCTGCAACCCACACTATTAATTTTCTGTAAAGTGAGGATGTATTTTATTTGTCATCTTGAAAATGTAACTCTTGAACACTGCGGTATTAATTTACAGACATCTTGATAATAAATAACAAACGTGTATATATATAACAATTACATTATTATTGTAGCAAATAAAGTTTTAGAATCATTTTACTTTCCAAAAATTGTTTCACAAGTAATTTGAAGTAGAACAAAAGAGTCTTGGTTTGGTAAGCACTAACAACTACTGCTTCCAGTCTCAACTGCTAAAGACAATCACTAGCAGGGCGATAATCATAGTCAAATTAGCGCACAATTCTCTTTTTGTATATGTTAACAATTCGCATAATAAAAAAGAATAACAAACACAATAGTTTTTCTCTGGCGCCCATTTAAAAATTACTGAAATACATTTTGAATCATTATTATTTTTATTATTATGATCGTTCCTTTGTTCTTTGGTCTTGAAAGTAATGTATTCTATTTTTCTGGAGAGAGAGCGGTGGTAACCTAAGATAAATGAACATGTTAGCTTTCCAGTTTATGTGAACATATCTATCTGTACATTATTTTCTGGTTGTAATTGACCATGCAACGGCAGTTAGTAATCTAGTTAAACTATTAGGCAATAAAAAAGGAGGAGAATAAATGGCTTATCATTTACAAGTAATGAAAATGAGTTTTACGCAACCAAAATAGATCAACTTATTCATTTGTTGTCGGTTTAAGCAGCAGAAGAAAAATTTTGTGTATTTGTCTTTCTGTTGATTTGATATCACCATTTTAAGGATTGGTATCTTAATGACACGTGATCACATAAACTAAGTATTTGTGTTATATTAAAAAAGGAATTGAAATAACTTGTCATTGGTTATTCTGTGATAGAATGATTGTCAGCCACGCACGAGGTCCGGGGTTCGATTCCCGTTTGAAGTAATACCAGACCTCTACCTGGTGGGATGCTCAGTAAGCAGGTAATGTTAGGTGTGAGGTTAACATCCCTCCTCCCCGGTAAGAACAGCACCACATCTATTGGAACTCCGAAGCGCAAACTTCAATCTCGGTGTTCCACTCAGGTGGCAAAGAAACGGAAAACAATTTACAATAATGCATGGCATTTTAAAAATCTAGTTTATGGAATGATTCAATACTTGTTACTATTATTATTATTGTTTCCTTGGGTTCCTAGTGGAACATACGGCTTCAACTGCACGCCTCCACTTGGTTCTGTCTTCTGCTGTACTTTTCACCTGCATCCATGTTATTCCATACTGTTTCAGCTCCTCTTCACACGATCTCCTCCATGTCACCCTTGCACTGACGTCCCACTCGCCGCTTCCCTTTCGTGTTCCACCCGAGCATTGGCCTGACGCGCGATGTCACCCAGCGGCCTCCTCAGCGAGTGTCCAATCCATCTCCACTTTCTCCTGCATATTTGTTGGGTGATTGGTTCTTGTTTTGTTTGTTCCCATAGTTTCTTGTTGGTGGTTATTTCCGACCATCTGATCCTCAGTATAGAGCGAAGGTGACAGTTGTTGATAAAGGTCTGCAACAGGCTGTTGGAAATATTCTTTGTGACACACTGGCCAAGTTTCTGATCCGTATAGAAGAACTGACTGACTTGACGTTTGTATTGAAAATCCGAATTTTGTTGTTGATGCTGAGTGACAGCGGAAGATTTCTAGATTGGTTTCAGGTTGATGAATGTGTTTCTCGCCTTCCCGATTCTCGATTTGACATCTTCGTCCGTTCCGACTGCCTGTAGTTGAGACAATGCTCCCTAGATAAGTGAATGAAGTAACCTCTTTCAAATCCCTCCCGTTGATGGTGATTCATACTATGGAAAGTAAATTAATTTTGTCGTTCACCTACTAATGGTATAATTCGACTCAGTCCATGAAGAGGTTTTAAAAATGTAAAAATAAGAAATAGTAATAAAAAACGACTAAATTTACTCAATACCATCTACAGTCTGGAGACAACATGAAGAAGTTTAATAAATCTTTGTGCCATGCTGATGTGCAAATAGTTAAAGTCGTCTAGCAAACGTGCCTTGATTTTCTCTCTTGTTATTATGAATGAGTTTGAAACGTAAATATGGACTACAACTTGATTCGAATAAGTTTTATTTGCGAGTTTTATTTTTTTTTATTAAACCATTACACACTTTCTCCTAATGACAGTGATTTTGACTCGACCTTCATTCAATTTTTAGTTTGATTGTACTCACTAGTGTCAATCGTGATACGCCTCTCAGTTTACTTGCTTAATTTTGCATCAATCTGTACTTGATTATTGCCTCTACCCTATTTGGTGGTTTCTAGAGTCTCTTTATTAATAAGTCTTTTGAAAAAACAATCCTTTTGCCGCTAAGACAGCATATCGTACAGTTGGACAATGATACTGTGGTTGTGGTGTGATACAGATAATGTGTTCCAAACGGAATATGATTCTCACATTTCAATTAGTCATCAGCAACAGAATACTACATATTTCTCTTTGAACATTATATTTCATGTCGTTTGATGTAAACCGAAATCACGCGCTCAGTGATTGAATACAGAATATAAACTATATATATATATATATATATATAAAGAGCGGTTTGATCAATGAAAAAAGATACCATGGTTTCCGTGTCTTGCCTTCTGTTGTTACAATATCACTGGGAAGGGTAACTCTTCACTGAAACATGTATGTAATTTACTGTTCCTCAGTAAACCTACTCACTGTCTAACAGAACGAGTTGAATATACAGCTTGTGTTTTATTTAACACTGTGAACCAATGAAATAAAGCAGTTAAGGTGGTAAGCTGTTCATTTGTGAAAATTTTCGGTTATCAATAAGAAACTTATCAATTACTTCTCAAAGGAGAGTTTTTATTTGAGGTTTACCTTTGTGACAAGCACTGAATGTAATTTGACCTGGGAACTATTAGACAAATTAAGTCCCAAGTTTGGTCACGCATCGATATCAGTTAGGGAACCACTGAAAACGGAGGACTACTGATCAGCTAATTAGTCCAAGTCTGGGACCACCCACATTGCACACTCATCAATCCAGTGGCACAAGCATTCTTACTTCTATAATTTCGCGACTTTTAGCGCCACCTCTAATTATTAACGTCAGCGAGTATTTCTCCTGACACCCAATCTAGTGGACCCCACTGGTCACGTATTGCCACTAGAATTTCAAGCAATTTCTTTCCATAGTCAGGTACTAGTGAACAGATTCATGAATGATACCATGACAAGATTGGCGCTATATACGGCGAATTGAGAGAAATGAGAAGTCATTGGCCATTGGATTCTGTCACAGTGATTGAATGGTCAAAGAGCTCGCCTTGTAACCTGAAGATTCCGCCTTCAATTCTCAGGTGAAATCATGGCTACATACTGATGAAGAGTCATAAACGAGGAAGAAACAGCTGTCTAGTAGTTTTTGTTATTCAATGATTCTATGAATAATATCAGTCTATGATGTTAAACTTGAATTACGAAAGCATTCTGGAAATGAATGTTGCAAATTTAATTTACACATGAGTTCGACAACACATTTACGTAAGTATGGAATAATTCATTTGAAAAATGTCAAAAAATTCTTTGATCAAGAGCTTAGATAGACACAAAATGAAGGGTGTGAAATTGCTCTGTTTGACATTCTAATTATCATTGTTTTGATAGTGTAATTTAAGTATTTCTATCTACTGTCTTGACCAGACTACTTTTCACTTTTTCCTATAAAAATATAACCAAGAAAAAAGTAGCATCATATTATCCTGTTCAAATTGTTCTTTCCGCTTTGTTCAAGATCACCTCATGACAACAATATTAATAACAAAACATGTTGAAACAGTGAAACATTTTACACGTGTAATTGTGTTTATACACGAGTGAAAAAACATTACAGAATCAGAAATCTGAACTTTTTGTGTAGATGGCAAAACCTGTGAGAAAATTTATTTTATTTTATTATTATTTTTTAGGTGACAGGTATTATGACACAAGGTCGAGGAGATGGTTCAGAATGGGTTACTTCATTCATGGTATCTTACAGTGACGATGCTATGCACTGGAAATTTATCACAGATCAATATGCCAATCAAAAAGTACGTTGCTTATAAAGTTGTTTATACTGATACTTCATGTGTATACGTAATGTGAATAATTCAAAATGATAGCCTCAGTTCATCCGTTAAAACCCACACATTAGTAATCCACGAAGTTTGCAACGCTATGGTGAGAATAACAACGAACTTACTCGATGACTTAGTATAGATCACGTTCAAAATTAATGTAATCAGTTGTTTCGCTGTATTAATTGCACTGACTCTTAAGTTAAGATTCAGGGGTCACCGAATTACAGCACAAGTAGCTGAATGGTCAACAAGCTGAACTTGAAAATTCTGGGTCCCATCGCTGGTGGAATTGTAGTTGCCCACTGTTGAGGACTGCAAGAATGCGACGAACTGTCTGTTCAGTGCACCCTGGTCTTCAGTGATCTTTCTAACTAGTGTTAGGTTGTGGCGAAAATCTACAAACTGAAATATATTTTAATTTTGTAGGGACAGAACACTGCCATGCATAAATGGTAACGGAGTGATCTTTTGACCTCAAATCATGAATTATTTTTATTACTTCATCACTCGATTCCCCATAGTACTATTTTTCACATTCCTTGAGGTTAGTGGTAGAACAGCCTCCCTTAAATGTCTTTTACTATCTTAGTGGCTACTTATGATGTTGACTGAATAATCAGAGGCTCACTTATGAAAACTCATTTCTGTGGATAATTGTTGGGATTTGCAATCAATGAACACTCCCGAGAATAGATTGTAGTTACGTTTTTAGTCAGCAAGTCACCAACTTGATACCACCGTACTTCACCTTACTGCGTTTACAACGAATTTCGTACATTCTGTGTAGTGAGATAATGAAATTACAATCCAGCCTAAATTACTTTGAATAATAACCATTTTGTGCGTCGCGGGTTCAGCGATAGAAAACGCGCCAACCATGTAAATAACCTGAAGTTCAATTCCTAGCCGACTCACTCCTCAGCCTCACTTAGCCAGTGGCAGGCTCAATAAAGATGGGTACAGGGCTAACAACTTCACTCTACTAAAATTTCCAATAAGATTTCAAGTAGATACGTCCAAAAAAGAAGCAACAGCGGCCTTCGAAAATAAAGTAAGCAAGCACCTCGAAGGACTACTTAAAGAATGGCTAATAGACAACAACACTTACAACGACCTTAAACCAAGAGGTTCGCGTGCACTATTCATGTACGGTCAACCCAAAGTCCACAAAAGTAATGTACCATTGAGACCTATAATATCAATGGTGAAATCACCATGCCATAAACTGGCCAGATGGTTGGCCCAAAAGCTGGAACCCATTCGACAAAAGCTGGCAGCTCACAGTATCAAAGATTCCTTCCATTTTTCACAAGAATTAGATCAACTCAATATTTCAGATAGACTTCTCGTGTCATACGACGTTTGTTCACTGTTTACCAGCATACCCATCGAAGAAACAGTAAGAATCATATGCCAGCAGTCCGAACTGCTCCCTCTTCCAGAAAATGAGCTACGCAAATTGTTATTTCTATGTACAAAGAATATTCAATTCCGATCCAACAATCAGCTGTACCGGCAGATTGACGGGGTGGCTATGGGTTCACCTCTGGGTCCTGTTCTTGCTGACATATTCATGGCTCATCTTGAACAGACTCAAATGAAAGAAGAAATAGGAAGAACCACCCATTACTGCAGATATGTCGACGACACGTTTGTGGTCTGCAATGATATAGAACACGCGTCCACAATGTTTGAGAAACTCAACGCGGCCCATCCCAACATCGCATTCACAATTGACTACGAAAGAAACAACCAGTTCCATTTCCTAGATGTCAACATAAAAAGAAGAAACGATGGGACAATCCAAAAATCTGTCTACAGGAAAGAAACTTGGACTGGTCAATACCTACATTATTATAGCTTTTGCCCAACCAGTTACAAACGATGTCTAGTAAAAACGCTCTTCAGCAGAGCCAAAGAAATATGTTCAGAAGACAAGATTGAAGAAGAACCTGAGATCATCGAAAAGAACCTTATCGAGAATGGATATCCTCGAAAGTTCATATTAAAATATAGAAATGAGGAAGTACACAAACCGAAACCCGACACCGTTGAAAAGAAACCAGTTTTCATCTGTCTAGCGTACAAAGGGGAAGACGTATCTACAAGAACACAAAAAAGAATCACAGGCGCATTGAAGAGAACGTTCCCAGTTGCCAGACTGATCCTACTTCACAACACTGTGTGCTCGTTAACCCAGTCAAAAGTAGATGAGTTCCCTACTCACGTCAACTCCAACTGCATTTACCAATTCACGTGCACCTGCGGTAGCAAGTACATAGGAAGGACTGAGAGGACAGCATCTACTAGATTTTCTGAGCACATTCCTAAGAGTCTCTGTACAAAAGGAAGAAAAGTGTTAACAAGTGCAATCGCCAGACATCTAACTGACACAGGACACACAGTAGAAATCAGCCAAGCCTTCAAAATAATCAATACACAAAGAAACCCACGGCTACTTCGCTTCGCAGAAGCCATTGCTATCAAGAGATTTCGACCAGACCTTTGTATACAGAAAGATAGTGTGACTAATCTTTCACTACCTTGGTAACCCTAACTCTATTTTATTTTATTTTTGTTTTGCCTTTCTGTCAGTATGCCTGTGTGTTTGTCTTGTTACGTAACATTCTATTCAATTTTGACCTTCAAGTTCCTAAATCTACTTAATTGTTTGTCTGTTTAAGTTATAAATGTTACTTCACTATTCACCCCACCCTCTTAAACTCTCCACCACAAGATGTGTAAATTTACTTTGTTCTCTGACCCTGACCCTGTAATATGCCTCTAACCAATCTGTGTTGTTTTCCAATAGAAATCTGAACTCTTACCCCTCTTATCCAATTCCACTATATATAATGAGTTGTTTTTTGACACCGAATAATCTGTCTACCTACATCAATTTCTGGAATTATGTTCCTTATGCCTTCTATCTATAACTCCAAGTAATTATGAAAAAGTATGTTCCACAACTTTCTTGAAACCCATAATTTGATTTTGTTTAGGATGTATGCAGTTGATGAGAATCCACGAAATAAAACGAGCTCGTATTATCCTACAAATATGTTCGTTCTTTCTCTCTTCAAACTAATAAAGGGAACCGGTTGCATAAAATTTCAAAGTTCAAACTTGAAACCCTGTGTCCTATTTGTAACACAAAGGATTGGAATAACAATAATAAAAATAATACATAACTATGTTGAATGATTTTTAACAACTAACCGCACCAAAGAATATGGGTTTTCTGTGTGTACAACGCATGAGAAAAAACATTATGAGTTTCTTCAATGGATTGTTTGATCATTGATTTCTTTCTATATTGTAAAACTCATCACATATATAATTATTTATTTCTACATGTAGTTACTGAGTAATAAATACTTGACAGACCGAAAACAAAAAAACGCTATTGTATCCGGGATAACAAGCACATTTTATGTTTATTAATTGGCGCCAAAGGGTTTCCTTTTTTTCGCATAATAAAATATTCCTTACATCCGACTGCTTAATTATTAGAAACAGTGTAATGAGTATGAATTTATTACAAAAAAGGGGGAGAGGGTTTTTTCCATTGTCTACGTGTATGCGTACACACATAATCATGTAAACTAGTATTAGATTAAACGGATGCCTGAGAGGAATTACAATATAGGTCATTGAGAAAAAACTTATGTACATACATAAGTTTATCATGTTCAGTTGTTTCTATTAACAGGTAAGAAAATCATACTACCCAGCCTCAGTCGATTGTTTCACGCTTAGACTGGTGTATACATGAAGTGTTTTTTTTATTTGTCCGAAGCAACAGAGTTATACAAGTATCATTAAAGTCACTCTATACCCTGATTTCTTTGGCTTTTTTGATTTTTATCTCTCAGCAACTTGGTAAACCAATATGATATCAAATTAGTATGCGTGTTCGTATTCTTCACGGAATTAAATATGTATATATATGTATTTGAGCTTTGTCCTGCTTGCTGGACTAATTTTTCACTGTTACGCGATGACAGTGACATGAATATCATGTTATTAACTCTTATATCAGTTAATATTTCACTGTAAATTCTTTTACTGCAAGTAAATTAAATTTTTTGACAAATGTGTTAACTAACAAAAAAGAAATAACGAAATATTTGCTTACTGAGAGAATAATTTCCGTTTCAAGTTTCATCACGAATTGATATCACTAAGAGAATTATTGAAAATCATACAGTACTGGATAGCTTCTTCGTCTTAGTTTATAATTGTTTGGTAGTACATACCCATAACCCACTGGGAGTTTAATCCATGATCTTCATCGCACAAGGTGAGCCACTGAAATGCAATACAAATGCCCATGAATTTAATTCCATATTAGTTTGTTTATTAGATATATCACACAGTGAAACAGTATTATTTACTGGATGAAGTTTTTCGAACAAAATTTATTGTTCATAATCATTTCACCAATTATGATCACACAACTTCGAAACTTGAGTTTTATAGTTTTCTTTGTCCTCTCCTATTTTTCGTCGTTGGGGTAGTAGAATTTTCCAGATATCGGGGACAGGTGATAAATCATTCCTATTACATGTATTTGCAGTTGATTCGATAAACAAAGCTTCTGTTATCAATCTATCCCTCCACCCTGCTGTGACATTAGATTTTAAAACTGTCATCATATCCCATCATTCTATTGTATGGTTGCGTGTAACTGAATTTAGTGCTATAGCTGAACTATTCTCTAGATTTCTTATCTTATTCGGGTCAACTAATCTATATTTTACCAGGTTTTCACGTTCGACTAATCTGGCTGCCTCTGTTCTTCTACTTTGACCTATGTATTTGACCTGACAATCATCGCAGGTAGGGTATTAGATAAACTAAATTGTTTCGTTTTAAAGACTCCACAGGATTGATCCTTTAATCGACAGAGCTTGTTTCTAATTGAGTTTGTGGGTTTGAATGCCATTTTTATTCCTGCCTTGTTAAGG